CACACACACACACACACACACACACACACACACACACACACACACACTTTAGTGATTCAAAGAGTTAAGCTGATCAAAAAACAACACCAACCCCTCCCTCCTGAAAATATATCCAACTTTTACACAAGCTAATTTTAATTTAAAAATGATGCAGTTGCTGATTAAGGTTCATTTTACCCCACACAATGCCTGCTTTACACACAAATACTAGTAGGGCGTTCCTCTACCTGCTCAGGTCCCTTGTCAAACATCTTACGGGTGCGGGGGAACTGATGGGAGTGAGGCGCCTGTCCTCCCAATGTGGGGGTGTAGGGAGGTCGTGTAGCCGGCTGCTCTCTGGCGGGGGGTTTGGGTACCTCGTTGGTCAGACTCGAGCTGCTGGTGCTCGGCATGGGAGGAGACCCACTGGACAAGCAGAGAAATGAACATGAGGACAGGAAACAAAGTGGCAGGACTTAGACTTTATCAGCTTTGCCTTTTCATTCTCTTAGTGTCTACAGAAAACAGTGAAGAAAACAAGTTGGCTTCATATTTCATATTAATCATATATTTATTTGTATATCCATGATTTTGTGTGATCATTTTCTCATTAAGTTGGTCTTTTTTCTTCATTATTTTCTCTCTGGTTTATTGTATGCTCTTGTTCAGGCACAATCCACATTAGAATATTTTATGTAATGTAATTTATTCTAACTGTGTGCGTTGCCTCTCGTTTTGTTGCCAGTCTCGTGGTAGCATTTGTCAGAACCCTCTTGAAAACAAAATATTACGGGGTTTATCCTTTTCTTAGGCGTTAACATTCTTCAACCGAAGGTTCCTCACACTGCCTATTAAATGAAATTGTGTTTACTTCTTGCTAGAGGGAAGGCTGCTGTATGCATGATGCGTATGTTTTGGGGCTTTACTGTAATGAGTTTTCTGTATTTGTGGATGTTCGTGTGTGTGTGTGTGTGATATCTTTCCTCACCCAGCCTGGTGGATGTGCGTGCCCTTGCTGGTGGGGCTGGCTGGGGCCGACTGGGTGAGAGATCCAGAGTCCAGGATCCTCTGGGGCCGAGCGTTCATTGTTGCCTGGCGACAAAGAAACCGTTGGTTCAAATCCTGTCGTTTAATCAAGTCTTCCAAATGGAATCGTGAAATCAGAGATCAAAAAGGGAGGAAGAGACAGGAAGACGCGCCTGAGATCAGGATTAGAAGCAATACCTAAAATTGGGATACTCTTTTCACTGTAACAGCGCGTGAAAAGTGCAGCACTTTACAAAGTTTGCCTGAATTTCCAGAACTGTATCTCATCAGGCTGAGCAGGTAATATAACCTCTTCATTGTGAGTTGTCTAATGGCTGCTCACAAGGCAGGGGCAAACTTAATAAAGACAATACAGGCAAAGCATCATTGATGAATTGCAAGAGTTGTTGTTTACTCAGGCCAGGCGGAGAGAAAACTGTGTGCAGCCTAAATCTAGTTAACACAGGCAAACACATTTTACTACCGTTGACTTCATTTCGATGCTAATTATAAAATTGCGGCAGGTATCTTTTGTTTGTGCTTGTGTCTAAGAGAGAAAAGTTTTCAATGCAAAGTTTACACATATTCAATCTACTGCGGTTACTAGGGCTAGCTGTTAGTGCTTCAATAAGAGGCAATTGGAAATGGAACAAAACAGCAGTAAAACTGGCTGAAAGGACTATTATGGAAATAGCTCAGTCAGTAATCTAAGTACCCTTTCTACTCAAGCACAAAATCAATATGATGAGAAGGACATAAACAAAGAAAAGCAGTTAAAAAAGATTTCAGGATATGCAGATTTCTTTTGAAAAAGAGATGATTGTAGCAGTTTATGTGTGAAGGCAGTATTATAAAGAAACTAGATTATATGGCAAAACTGGGCTCCACACTGCAGCATAAATCCACCTGGAGCTCATTGGAGAGTTAGAAAGAGGTTGCAGCAAAGTGCAGTTGTAAACTAGTAAAAGCTCAAACAAAAGAATCTTAAAAAAAAGGATGGATGTGTGGTAATCCTGTCCGGCGTTAAAAGGTTTTATCCACGCACTCAAACTATTTTCTTTCTACCGAACTACACCCGCCAGCTGTATCTCCATTCAGAAGGAAGCGAGATGTAAACATTAATGGAGTCCTCCTCAGTTGACAGTATAGATAGCAGTATCGAGTATGATACACGGTTCCTTTTTTATTGGTGGGTGTATTAGTGGGCGTAGTTTGTTAGAAAGAAAATAGTTCCGACATGAAACTGCTCACACAAGATCTGTGGATTATCTTGAGTAACCAGGTCATGATTTCTGGAAAGAGACATTGAGTTTTTCAAATGTATTTTTTTGGCGCTTTGAAAACCTAAGCCGAGTGCCATCTAGTTCCTATAAGTCGGATCTCTCCGACCAATACCTCCAAAACTAAGCAATGAACATCAAAACAATATATATTGATAAATAGCACTACAGGTAAGAAGGAAAATCTGTATTTCAGTTTTTGGGGTGAGCTGTCCCTTTAAGGAATGAAAACATATAAGATACCTTTTACCAGATGCTGGTATGAATGTGAAGTTGCAAGCTCATCAGTTAAAACGACTCAATTATGCAACATGTTGATGGATTATTCATCAACATTTGCAGATCATCAACATGTGGTAAACAAACATCATGCTAACCCAAGAGGCCACACGTCTTATCTGCTGACAAGCTTTCCGCAAAATGTGATATACAAAACTCCCACATTAGCAGGAAACGCGGGTAATCGGTTCTACCAGCTGCTTCTCTCCAAGCTGGGAAACAGCTTGATCTCCTGTTTTAACCCGCTTCCCCTCACTTTCTCCATCATTAATTGACTGGAAAGTGAGTCAACTGAGCAAAGGAAATAGTGCCTGTACACAGACCACGCTATTAGCGAGGGCTCTGATGTCTCAGGAAAACCTGACTGTTCCTGTTTAATTATTTAAGGAAACAATGCCTTGGTGTATGATGATGGCATGGAAGTGGTGAAGGTGAGAGAGGATTGGTCAAGGCAGAGACGGTGAACTGATGAGGGAAGGTATGGTTGGATTATTAACATGGGGTAAGTATGTGAAAAGAGATATCTGCTGCGTCAGGTGAGGGAATTAAGAAGATTTGAGCCTCTCAAGTCATAATCTCCTCTCATTGTCTTCTCAACAAAATATGGAGAAATAAAGCGAGAAGGAGAGTAGAGCCTTCCCAAGGTCCATTCAAACATTTAAGATTTTATATGGTCACGTTTTTTTATTTTTTATTGCACCTCTTTGTCGAGTGAAAACAATCAGGTTTCAATCTTAAAAAAGGGCAAACATCTTCTTTTGTCCTGCAACTTCACTCGTCAAACTTACAGACAAAAGACCAGGCACAGGATTTAAAAAAGACCGAAGACATTCACCCCAGCATCATGCAGCAAAAGGGGGCTATTAAAAAGCATTTACTGCTTTCATCATTTGAGAAGCAAGTGAATTTTAATTAGCTGCTAACCTTGTTCACTTTGTTACAAATCAATAACATTTGACATTTAAAATCCTAATTAAAAGAGCTGGATTCCCAGTTAGGCTAATGTTAACACTTGTGAACTTGAGATGGATGTGTCTCTGATTAAGCTGTCTCTGATGAGCTCTCCGCAAGAAAAAAATAATTATGTGGTAATCTATGATAACTCATTAACTTCAGAAAGGTGTTTAGATTGTCTTCTTTAAAATGTCAAACTCTATATCTCATTTTTTCAGGTATACAGAGGAGACAGGTCCCTCGTCACTACTTTCACGTCATGATAGTATGAGTACACCACATTAAATGTATGACATGAATGACACTAGTGCCACATGGTGTATCACGTACAACATTGTTGGACTCATTGCAACCTGTGGTGATAACCAGAGCCAAAGAGGAGTGTGTGATCTCATCCCTGTCAGATTATTTCAGTTCAGTCAAAATCAATATGAATTTAATTTAAACAAATTCAAGTTAAGTCTCAAATCAATCAGGACAAGTCAATCTCAAGTCAACCGATTGAAGTCATAGTCAAGCGTCGAGTAATTTGAAAAAAAAAATCAAGGACTTAAGTCTCAAGTCAAAGGAGACAAGTTCAAGTCAACACTCAAGCCCATCAAGAAAAAATCAATTAAGATCTCATGTCAATTAAGACACATTCAAGTCTTCTCTGTTTTAGTCCAAGTCTCAAGTCAGTGGAGACAAGTTCAAGTCAAGTCGCAAGACCTTGAGAGTAAATAAAGTCAAGTCACACTTTTTCATTTGCGAGTTTTTCAGATCTACTAATGTTGACCATTAACATGACAAAGCATTTGAATATTTTCCTTTAAAAGCTGCGTTTACAGTTATTTATGAAGCTGAGGCCTACAAATTACATGATCAGGCTGTGTGGCAATGGAAGGAGAGTGAGAACGTAATGGGTTTGCGTGGTTTCAAGTGAAGTCTTGAGACAGTGAAAGAGTCAAGTCCTCTGTTTTATCAATGAAGTCTGACTTGTATCACGTCTCAAACCTAAACTCTACAGCTCTGGAATAGCTAAAAGACTCCGTATAGCTGCATTTCTAATATTTTTTCCTGTTAACAGACCCGTAAAGGTGACGCAGGTCTGGGGGCGGGTGCACTGTTTCTTTGAATTGTGTCTGTCCTCTGGTTATAGAATTGCAGTGCAGTAGGGAGTCTCATTGCGGAGATGCTGCTCCGCTGAAGGTAATTGAGGGGGCAATTGGTGTTGGTGGTAGGAAACAGAAGATATTTAGCCGGAGGGTTAGGATGGGTGGTGGACTATAGTGGTTATTATGGCTCCTTAAGTTACGGCAGCCTCTCTGCTCTGCCCTGCCAAGCCTGGGGAGTCATTGGCCCTTAACTGCATTTGCACAAAAGTAATGGCCTTTTGGAGGAAGAAAATGCCAGTGGGAGGGTGGGGCGTGTGTGGTGGAAACAGATTTCCACCCCCCCCGCATAACCATGCCATGAAAATAACTGACATAAACAGAGACAAAAAGTAAATTATTACACCACTCCATTAAACTCTCAAAAACAATGCTGACACTCATCTACAAAATTACTTACAATGCGTATGGCAGTGCAACAGCTACAAATCTTGGATCCCCAATATTTCTATGCAAGCACTAAAGAGCACAACACTAACGCAGCTCTAACAATAAGCTCAGTCTTGAACATGAACATACCTTGTATGCTATGCTGTTGAGCACCTTCATGGCCAGATCTGACACTTCAGGAAAAGGGTCTGCAGCGAGGTGTAGCAGCACTCTCCAGATCTGAGTGTATACACTGTTGAAGGACACACCTGGAACAGACGCAAGCAAATTATTAAGTGCAACATATTTTGAATTTGTTCATACATACGTATGAGATGAATAAACACACAATACACCCAGCAACACATACATCTTACTCTTGTGTAACCCTCATCACTCCCATTCTAGTTCATTAACACAGCAGAGCTCACAGTTAAGTGGTAATGTACAATCATCACATTAGCATCATGCGACCTGCCATTTCCTCTCCTGCAGTTGTTGGATGTGTTGAGGTGGCAGGGGGACAGTGACCTCCAGTGTGAGGTAATGTACATCATTAATCAACACACACACACACACACACACACACACACACACACACACACACACACACACACACACACACACACACACACACACACACACTACAAACAGCTGGTTCTTCTAATCCACTGGAGCTTCATTGCTGTCAACTGTCGCTGTTATCATGAATACAAATGAACAAAGTCTGTTCCCTCTCGGGTGTTTTTTGTTTGCAATTCTAATCTTCAGCATTGTTTTTACAGTGAAGGGGAGAGTTTTCTCAATTTCACTCTTACTTATCGTTCTTCGAACTTGTGATTTTAAACTAGCCTCTAACTGTTTGCCCATTAGCCATATTCTCTAGCCCTTTCATTTTTTCGAGAGTTGCTCTCCGACATCAGTTTGTTTAGGACCTCAACCTGCCAGATGTGCATCTCTTTGTGTTGGCAACAAACCTTCATATTTTCCCCACACCCTCCCTAATTCTGGGCGTATCAACTCTAGCACGTTGTCTCTGCATCGCACTGAGCCTCCTTCCCTGTTACTGTGCCTTTTCTGCTTTGGCCCTTTGTCTGTCAGCATCAATCTGTCGTCTTTCTCTCCTCCCTCAGTGTCAGCCACGGGGACACTGAGCAGTATTAGTTTCCAACATTTTCTCATTTCTCCTCCACTTTTCGGTTTCCTCCCCTCTTTCCTTCTTCTGCTCAGATCTTGTCAACCATGCAGGTGGTCCTGTGAATTTGACCTGCGAGGATGACCACTTTTATCTCATTTCCTTTTATCATCTCACTGCTTCCCCATCCTCACTTTTTGACAAGGCAGACGTGCCAAGCCCTGGAGCTGCAAACTCCTAAGGGTGCTGTGGAGAAGTGGGAATGACTGAAGCCTGGGTCCTCTTATAGCACCTCTTAAGAGAGAGACAAGAGGGTTCAATGGGCCTAAGCTTCAAAAGACAGGAGACAGAGGAGGGGAGGAGGATAGAGGGCTAAAGCTTGGGGACAGAAGGATACAATACACACACAAGAAGAAATCTGGAAAAAGTGAGGAGCAGAGAGGCCAGAAGGAGTAAAGATAGAGAGGGGAAAAACAACAAGGGAACAGGGAGAGCTACAATATTTCAGAAGCCTGTGTGCTGTGAGATACGACAAAGATGGGTAAGAAAGGCAAAAAGAGATGGAGAAAGAAGACAGAGTAGGAAAAAGACAGGAAACCAAGAGAAGAATGAAGAGAAACGAGATGAAAACGAAGCGAAGGCGACTGATGGAGTTAAAGAGATAATTAGGCTGCAGACTAAGGGGCAAAATATGATTAGCGATGGCTAGCTAGAGTGCTACTTGCTGCAGTAAACAGCCCATTGATAAATGTGAAATACGGTTCCTTTCCCATTTAACTGCTGCGCTACATTCCGAGTGCACACAAATTACCACTGCACCGCCTCTACATAGTCCACATGAGGGAATGTGACATCTTACATTACTCACTGGCTGAATGCTGCACCAGTGACTTGTCCTGACTTGACACAAGACTTGCTCACAGTGGAATGGATGTACAGTAGTAAAGAAGTTAATTATTGGCTAAATCAACCACTGCATCACTGTTTTATGGCCTTCTCAATTTTGGCAGGTGACATAAAATACTTTTGACTCTGCCGAGTGATTTTTGGAGCTGTAAATGCTTGAGGCATACAAACTGCATCTGAACATTTTAAAGCAAAGAAGAAACTCCTCTATAAAGGCATACTTTATAATATATTTTACAGAGGGATGTAAGCAGTGCAAGCAGCACCAAATCGTTTCTGTGATGCTCTTCAAATGGGAGAGTACCTAAAATACACTGACACAGGTAGAAGTGAATGAAAGCCCATGATGTGACAAAATATAAATGTCAATGCAGATACAGGAAATGTTAAGCACGGCATTACTTTAGACACCTTAATCAGGCATTTAATGGAGCTATATAGTGCGTTCATCCAAAGCGCATTACCATTTTGCCTCTCATTTCACACACCGGCAGCAAGATAGCATGATACGTGCTGGTCTGACTATCAGGAGTAGTTTGAGGTTGAATGTCTTGCTCAAGGACACATTGCCTTGTAAACAGGAGCTGGCGATCAAACTGCCAACCGTGTGATTAGTAGTCAGCCTGAGCCATAGCTGGCCTTGTACCATTTACATATTTGAACTACTGGATGGATTGCCATGACATTTTGCTCAGACATTCATGTTCACCAGAGGATACACCAGACTGACTTTGGTGTTTCCCTGAGTCGGTTCTATAATGAGGTTAACATTTTGGATTTTGAGCTAAAATATCTCAAAAGTAATTGGGTGCATCGCCATGCGATTTGGTTCAGCTATTTAAGGTCCCGAGAAGGCAAATGACAGTGATGGCTGGGCCATCTGCTTGGAGGCAGATCACGTCCTAAATATTGCTCTGAGCTAGACTCTTCCAAGCAAAAGAAAACTTGGAACACCAAAAATGAGCTGGTGGCGATTAGGAATGGTTAAGAATACTATAAATACTATAAAAGAGACTGGGGGAAAATGTACTCAGTATAAGTTAATACATTTTATTTTTCTCCTTTTAAGCTCCACAGGATCGACCTGCTGACCAATAGCTTATGTTAGAGAGACATTTTTAAATTTGGGAGGGTAAACTTGCCCACACATTTTGGGAAAAAATATTTGAAAACAAGGAAGTGGTTAGGGTTCTCTATCGCCAAGACTATGCTGACTGGGGGACCAAACAGAATTGCCAATATAAAAAATACGACTTTACAGTGATAAAGTTAGGGGTTGTCACATTTAGATTATGGAAAAATACATCCTCTGAAGATATTATACAAAAAATAAATGTATGGAACCTATGTCTGAAATAATTTCATAAGAACACATGTTAGCTAGAGTCAATGATGAGGGTAAAACTTTTTTAGGACACTAATGAACTGGTTGTAGTGCTGTATGTCTTATAGGTTTATTTTGGTTGTTCTGAATGAATTTATAATGGGTCTTTGGTTACTTATAATTAAAGGTAATAATACTGTATGTTTGAAAATAAAAACAAACAAAAATGTTGGACAACTTGGGGGGGATGTAAACATGCTGCCAAGAATAGGGGACAATATAGGGAGCTCATTGTGGCCATATGTTCCACAGAAAACAAAAGCATGAAGTAGTGGTCAAAATGTCAAAACATCTACAAGATGAACACAATTTGGTTCAGACACTCATGTTCTCATGTAGGCCGTTCCATCCTTGCTACGAGTCGAAGTGCCGAAGTGTCCCTGAGCAAGACACTAAACCCCTAACCGCTCCCTGGGCACTTCTCAGCAGCCCACTGCTCCCAATAAGCTAGGGATGGGTTAAATGCAGAAGTTACATTTCATATATATATATATATATATATACCCAATGTATATGACGACTATAATAAAATTTCAATTTCATTTAAAATGGGGTGATCCAAAAAGATTTTAGTGATCTTTAACTTATCATTTAGCACCATCATTAGATCAAGTAGGATTTGTACAAACTATAGTAAGAAGGCAAAGACAAACAAGGAAAAGAACAAATGTATAAAATGTAAATCACTACTCTGCCATGACTCCCACACAGTTTTGCTCTCCTGCTGGTTTCCTTGCAGGCCAGTGTACAGCAACTGCTGCATTTAGCATTTATGCTTTCAATTTGTTTTAGACAATATAATACACAGGCCACTTTACCTGTCGGCATTTGCTTCTGTTTGTTTGCAGTGTTAAAACATAGATGTGATGAAACTGAGTATGTATGCTGCTGTATTCCAGAAAGAGAAAAACAAGTTCATACATTTTTAAGGCGAGATTAAAAAAACAAATCCCCAAGGGTCGTATGAATGAAACTTCAAACCAGACAAAAGAGAGCGGCAAATAAGAAAACAATAAGAAAAAGCGACATGTTAAGTCTCGGCTGAGTTAGATAACCGAATAGAAGTGACAAGAAAAACGTAAATGCCAACACAACATGGAATTTGACAGTCATCTGCATTCAAGTATGTATTTCAGTCGTTTCTTTATACTTCTGAATGTTGTTACCAACATCTATTCATCCGCTTTGCCTTGCTTGCTGATACATGCAGCACACTGCAAGGTGGAAGTTATAAATAAGCGCGCTGGGAGGCTGGGACCTAGTGGGCCAATATGTTTTTTAACCTGTGTACCAGGGGGGCCTAGCGCCAGCATTATGCAGCTTCAAAAAGGTTTAACCGGACATCAAATGCTAAATTTGTCGGCTAAAAGGGTAACGAGAACAAGCGCTGGGCCAGGCTGTTTTTATTGTTGGTTTTTTCATCAAACATTAACTCCCAAGCTTTGGTGTCCCATTGTACCTGCACCTTAAAAATAAATTGTAGAAATGCTCCACTATGTATAAAGAAGAGAAGTGAATGAAAGAAATGACCTGTGACTTCCTATAAAGAAAAAAGGGCAGACAACACATTAGATCACCTTTACTTTGTCTGTGTGCGAGAGAGAAATATGTACATGGGACTTAAAAACTAAATATGTACGTGCATACGAGTGCAACTCAATCCAGATTTACACAGCATATTGTGTTAAAGTTGAATTTATGAGCAGAGGAATTTAGTCTGTTTCCACAAAAGGCCGCTGTGAAGCTGAGCTCGACTGAGTCAGACACACTTACAATAAGGTGGCATTCATTTAACGAACAAGTCAAAGAAAACCCGCTGAAAAGGAAATGTCATTATAGTACCTGAACCTACTTTCATGCCAAGTCAATTTCACTGCTCTCCATAGCTCTATTTTCTTTTCCATTTCAACTCATTTACCATCGTGCCGGGCAGAAATTACATACTGGGACGTGACAGGGCAACTGGGAAATTAAATGCAACAATGTGAGGAGGAGAGAGAGAGAGCGGGAGTGAGGGGAGGAGGAAGGGAACCCCCAGTTTCTATTCCCGAAGGGGTGGGAGGGAGTTAATGGTTTTCCTGCTCGCACACAAACTGGCCGTCAGGACGCATGGTGGAGCCTGCCAATCACCTAAGAACAAGGGTAAGTGAGCGGTTTCCAGTTCAGCGTACGAGGAAAAGCACTTAAATGGCCTCAGGTGGCTCACAGAGTCTAACCGATCTTCCTCTCTACTGTCCTTTACACATCTGCAAACCTTTTTTACACTTAATCTATTCTAGGACTGGGAGCTTTCTTCTATGTTACCTCCTTTTCCTATCTGGTGCCATCGCGTTCTCCTGGTCATTTATTTCCCCATGTTTTTTTTCTCTCTCAAGCTTAGTCCTCAAGGGAGAGTCATGGGAAATCAGTTTTCACTGCCTTGTTCTCACTAACGCTGCTTCCTCTCTTCATTCTTTCTATAGCTTGCTCCACCATCCTGCTCTCTCTCCCTCGCTCACTCGTTGAGCCGAGGACGAGAACTTTGAATGGTGTGTGTTTACAATGTTACAATTCTTACATTACGTTCTTACATTATTAGTACAGCAAAAAACATGTTTTTTGTTAACCAAGTTGTGTTGTTGCCTCAACCTTACCAATTGTTTCACAACGTTAACCATGCGGCATTGTGCATTTCTGCAAATGTGATATGAAACGTATTGTAATGTATTTTAGCTCAGAAATGTTGACTTTCAACGTATCCATGGTTTGCATAAAAGTACATTGCCAACATTTTTTCTGGCGACTGGGCTGCACTTTTATAAAGTTGAAGGGACTAGTAGGAGATAGATTTACACTAGAATGACCACCTCACTGTTGTATGCTTTTTTGAAAAGATCAGAGATTTTAACTTGCTCGGAGTGGCCACACAAAAAAGTCGAAGCGCTGAGAAAAAAAGACGCTGGGTGCAGCTCCTTTTCTTGAGGCAGCCGCATATGCCCTCTCCTCATTGGGAACAATAAAAAAAAAAAAAAAAAAAAAAAAAGACGCTAGCGCTCAGAAAAGGGTGCTATGTGGACACAGGCCCTAAGACATTTGTGTGAATTTTATGTAATTGGCATGAATTTTTGAGCAATGACCAATGGTTTTGTTAGGTTTTTACCTATAAGGGAGTTGAGCGAAGAATAGGAGGACACCCGTCTCATTTTGTCGATGGTCTCAAAGGAGAGGATGTACTCGTCATTGTCGGGGCTCCCCAGGGTGCTGCTGGCGCTGCTGCTGGTGCTCAGGTTACCAGGAGAGAAGGCTGCTGGGCCACCTGAATGAAGAAAAGACACATACACACAAAACCGTCTGACCCAATCGGCAACAAAATCATGACCATCACAAATGCAATACGAGTTGAAGAGGAAGAAAAAGAGGCACTTATTTTGTCTAGAAAGCAGTTTAGCCGCTGTAAAAGTACTGTATAAATAAAGTTTATTATTGTGATCATTGTTTTTAAACCAATAGCCAAATCAACATCCAACAAGGTCTAAGCAGTACTTATACTTGGAGGTTGCATGCCGACACAAGAACTTGCTCATAACTTAATTTCAGATGTCAGGCTCAGTCACCTCCTGCTGTAATTCTCCTTATCTCAACATTACTCGTGACTCAAACAAAAGCCAAGCACCATGCATCCTCCAAACTGACTGCAGGCTGAAATGTGGAAATGGAGATTGGAAGAGAGTGGAAATATACTCTCTGCTCGATGCTTATTGATGACAAACACCGCTGCACATTGGCATAAGCACTGAGAATATGTGAATTAGGAATTGGGTCGGCAGTAGATTGCACGCTTCACAGTGACAGGGATTTAACTTCACTCAGGGCTTATGCATTACTGGCAGTATTATACAGTCAGACCAGTTAGACACTGGTGCAACTTACCACACTGCACTACTCCTACAGAATGGCACGTGGCAGAGAATGGAAAGAAATCGTAGAAATTTTAAGTATTTGCATGCATAAATGGAAGACGGAACATTTGTAGCCAGCGCTCTTTGTTTTGTAGGTATAACACATCTGCAATGAAACCACATAATGCAACGAAACAGCTCAGTGAGCTAGCCATCTATCAGTATCCGTGGTTTAGAGTAGGGAGTGTGTCCCACAGTGTAACCACTGCCCCTGTATGAGCTCAGGCCCACACTTCAGCACCATGGACAGCTCCTTGTCCCCACTGGTACTCAGGCAGCCTCAGTGAGATCTGCACATTCACTGATCTGTGCGGAGCTGAGACAAAGGAGCACAGAAGCATGTTTGTTGTCCCTGTTGGCTCCCTCCTTCTTTCTAGTAAATATGTGAATAAATATAAATCGCAAGAACTTCTGTTTTTACTGAATCTGCCAAAGTGCCAAGGAGTTTGTCACTTGAGTGCAAAGACCAAAAACAAGCTCTCCAAGATAGTAAGTTTTGCAGGTAAGGTGATCAGGTGCGTTACAGAAACATATAACGAAACAGAACTGCAGATACCTCACATCCACTACATTTAGAGTTTGAGCTTCTCTCGTCTGGCTGTCCATTTAGGGTCCCAAAGGACAGAGCCAAAAGAACACTGAAATGGACAGAAAAAGTCAATCTAATCCAATATCTGTGGGACCATGGCGAAGCAACAAGCCAGAAGAACAGTTTGAGCAGCAACTATGAAACCTGTGGCCAATATCACGAGGAGCTGGATAAAGCAGAACCCAATGTAGAGTTATTGAAGGGAAAATTGGGAAGTTACTTCATAAACATAAGCACTCAAGACTATTATAGAGAGATTGACGATAAAACTGGGATTCACCCATGCTCAAATCAGAGCATTTTGAACCCTGCTATGAAACTGCTCAAATTTGTAATTGAAAATTCTCAGGAGATATTAACCAATTGAAGGCAAAATTTGTCACTTTTACTGTCGAAGTCCAATCAGTGTTGATGCGAAATGTAGTCCATTGAAGCAATAAACTACTCAGAGTGGGCTATATTGACTCAGAAAGATGATTTTGAAAACTCTGTTGTCCTTCCTGCTTCCAGCGCCGTCATTTGATGCGACAGTGACGTAGTTGGATGCAAGGAAGAACTACAGGCTGCTTTTTTTTAGCTTGGATTTGTAGTCTTCGCTTCTGGGTAGACAGGGGGCGCAAATGCTCCAAGTGTCGCTCAATTACAGAACTTTCTTGTTCTTTTTGCTTGAATTGAAAACTAGTTACATTTCCAACAGTGAAAATGTCATACCAAAATATGAGTGCAGAGGATGTTATGGACGAGGATACATTTTACCGTGTTTTAAATGACTTGGATATTCAGCCGTATTTATTTAAGCCAGAGTAAAGGCAGAAGAACTGCAGCGCTGAAAGGCTGCGGCCGCATGAGTCGTGTGAGAGGATATGGCGGGTGGAGACCCTTCGGGCATCAGAAGCGGTTGTGTTATGCATCTTGGTACTGAAGACATGATTGCGTCAATTGACTACATTTACCATCGACACTGATTGGACATCCACAAAAAAGGTGGAGGATTTACCTTTTTAAAAGGTTTTTGGAGTGTGAGGCGGTTATTGACAAAAATAAACTTAATTTAAGTAAAACCGACATGTTTAACTACGTAACATTCCTTTTGATGGGTACCTCCTGAATGTAGATGTGCCCTCTACAGCTGCAAGTGTTACTTATTGTGTAGAGACATTTGAACTGAGGTGAAAGCAGATGGGGATTGTTTTGAGAAAGGGCCAAGGTTCACCACTGAAGAGGGAGCATCATTTTGGAAGCCAAACATCTTGATCTTGCATATAACTAAATTGTGCAGTTATAATAAATGGTCCATGTGTGCTCTGGCATTTATCTACATCACACAATTGTAAGACATGAGTGACAAGGATTGCTAGATTGGAATAAATAACACACCACAAACTGGCCAAATGGTCTGAATCTCTCTGCTGGTTGTAAAAAATCTCAGGAATGGCAATGACAGAATGAATAAGTAAGTCTGGGGACTGTTAGATCTACGGCCCAAAGCTGAAAACCTTATGAATTGTGGTAATGGTCTCTCCTCGGATTAATTTCTGTCATTCAGCAGACTAAATTGTCTTCTTTGTCTTCATTCTGTCCTCCTAGAAATTCATCTAAATTTGTGCTTCATCTTATTTATATCTCTCCCATCTGCCTTATTTTCTCCTTTGCTCCATTTCCCAGCACTCTCTCCCCCTCCTACTTTCTTCATTGAGGTTGAGGTTCTGCAGGCTCTTGTTCAGGTTGCGGGCAGTGGTAGCAGCTCGAATGTTGGTGTAGGAGTTGACCGATCGCAGGCGTGGGATGGCTGGGCTGTCCCTCACTGGAGTCAAGTTACCAGGCTCTGGACGTCAACACAGCAGAGTGTACATCAGATCAGAGGCAGGATGATCCCAAACAAATGAAAATAAATGTCTACGCCCATGTCTATAATACATTATTATAAACATACTTAAAATGTGTTATAACCTGCTTATAGCACTGTATAATTATAAGCATTCATAACTATTAATAATGATGTATAACTATAATAATAACACAATATAAAGCATTTCATGATTACTTGTAAGGTCAAGTATCATAATTCTTCATAAATGTATTATTTTGCAAAGATCATTGAATTATAATTTCGGTAAACGCCCACTCAATGGTGAGAATCAACTTCGTCTAAATTATCATATTCCCATAGTTTTCAAAACATTTACATTTTGACCCCCTAAAAAACTATTTGCCTGCGACGCATTAATAGATGTTTCTGGAGAGGCACAAGAAAAAGGGAGGTATGTCCAACCTGTGCTTTTAAAAGGAAAGTCACATTTAAAAGTTAATTTTCTGCCCAGCCACAAATCCTGTTGTATTCCATATTCCTAAAATCTGGTCACAGTTTAGGATATACTTTCTCTGACAAAGTGTTTTGATAATGGCACCCTAAGTTTAAATGAGATGTGTACATGACAAGAACAGGTCTCTTCTCCTTGTTATAGACACGGGCTCATGCAATTTAAGATTGTTCACTGTGTCCATTTAAGTCACATTATCCAAAACATATCCAGATTTAAATCCTCCTTGTGACTGATGTAAACTGTCTCTAACTACTCTGATTCGCATGTTTATGGCATGCCCTGATCTGCATATATTCTAAGGTTCTTAAAATATCTCAGTGATGCTTACAACACACATTGAACCATTTAGAGGGCGGAAGTATTCTGTGTTTTTCATTGAGTTTTTTTTGTCTGTTAGTGTTTGTGTGTGTGTCTGCAGTACCTGCGGTGTTGGCCGGTGATGGCACTGTATAGTTCTTCTCCTCTTCTATAAACTGGAGGGCAACTGTACAGAAGTTGCTTTCATATTGGACCACCAGGTGACTCAGTGCTACTACCAGCTCCTGTCAAATGCATATGGAAAACAAAGATCATTCAGTTTCACAGGTTTTGATTTTCTTTCACTTCATGTCTTAATATCTTCAAGCCAAGCACTATATTTCCAGGTACAATGGTGACACATGAGTATATATCCCTTATCTCTTAGCGAAGGATCAATTACCAGTTGTGTCAGTGAGTGACACATGTGTGTGTGTCATCATGACAACATGTGGTCCTCGAGACAACTGCTGTAGTGGGAACTACCAGCGGGGCGGTTTTGAGTACTTTACCAGGTGTTTCTATTACTGTCTGTGGACAGATTTTGTCACTATGATAGCGTCACAACCTTATAAAGTAACGGCCTCTGACTTTTGTCATTTGTAATTAACATTACAAAGATGAGCTTGGATCAATTTGTAAACAGAGAGTCATGATGGACACTTTAAATAAATCCAAAGACCTGAAAGGCAAATTGTAATCAATCGTAATCCTTAGTTGGATGCCCACACAGACAGTTGAAATACATTCAGAAATAATAGTTATTTTAGATTGAACTCTGACAATCATGAAGTGCAGAACATACAGACATGAGAGGTATCGATCCTCTCATCTAACTCAGAACAAATTAAAATAGACTTATTGCCCAAATGTGTTACCACTCCTTTAACTATGTCCTGAGGGCAACAGGGCCATTTGTTTGTTTTATTTAGATAATAATCTTGTCATCACTCAATATAGAATGTGCTGGGGAATTTTACTTTTTTCACTGCATCGAATAGCGAACAAATCATCTAACTGCACTGCAGTGTCGTGTAGTACTCATAGGACTAAGGACAAGCCCACACTTATCAATTGTTTTCATATATTTTGGAGCCATAGTTTCTACTTGCCTCTGGCATTCTACTGGATTGTCTTAATGTGACATGCATATAATAAAATAATCAACTATGTGTTTTATGTGAGTGTTATTGTACTGCAGTGACCTTGCGGACCACAGGGCTGCCATCGTTGATGAGCTGGGCCAGCATCATGGCCACGTTGTGGTCGATGGTGGTGGAGTGGTCCGTCCTCTCAGCAGAGTTTCCCACAAACGTCCCCAAAGCAAAGACAGCCGCACACCTCACCTGCAGTGGTTATTAAATTAAAACACAAGATTAAAGCTTTTTTGATGGGGTTTGGATGTTTTGTCACTCCGATCTTCCTTCATCGATGAACGGCTCTGCCCCTTTTAACTGTCTGAAGACAGTGTGTTCATCAGACAACAAAAATGTTGAAAGTTTTGGAGGTAATTATGGTGCAATTTTCTTTCAATGTAACACTAGGAAATGCCCCGGAGATGATCAGTGCTACGTGCTCCAGTGAGCTGCTTTTTCTCACTATAACTCATCACTTTCTCTGCCCGCTTCATTGGCTGTTTCATCCAAAATTCCAAACATCCAAAGGAGTTTACCATCAGGGGACTGAACTGAACCAAATTACATCACAATAATGAATATGATGAATATGTGGTTGTATTGTTTGTTGAGCCAAGAGAACACATTTTGTTTTTCATTGCAAGCACCAATATGAATGATCATCATCATCATCACTGCTACTTTTTAATCATGCAATGAAGCTTCACCCAGATGTTGCTTTGATATGTTATGCTTCGCTCCAATTAAAAATGATCAGCTGAAACGTGTCAGATTAACATTTTTTTCCTGAAACTTGGAATAAAAGAAAAAAATCCCTGTGACTTGAAACAAAATTAAAACAAAAGACGATAATACAAGAAAGCAGCTTAATGTGCCAACTTCACTCAGGCAGTCTACTAACAGCCTTCAGTCAATTCTACCATCTACACCAAGATGTGTTGATTCAAATCTATGCTATTTTTAGAAGCCATGGTAGTGATATACAGTATATACATACACAAACACATATATATATATACATATACATATACACACACATATACACACATATATATACATATACACACATATATACATATACATATACACACATATATA